AACCAATTTTCCTAAGAAAATATACAGATGAAAAATAAAAGGCAGAGCCCCTGACTATCCTGAGGAAAAGAGACTGTGGCAAAGGAAGGCGTTAGGAGGCTGCGGTGATAGCCCAGGTAAGCTGAGTGGTACCTGGTATCTATAAATACTATAAACCTCAAGTATTCCTACACCATCTTTACAGAAAATTTCATTGAACAACGATCACAGAGTCACCACAAAGTGCAAATCCTGGGTTTTGTTTTTTCAATTTAATATATTAGGTCTGCACATTCAGGCACTATGTTAGTCACTATAAGAAAAAACTAAGTAAGAATAGATATCTATTGAAATATGAACAGCATACAAATAATAATTTTATCATGACAATAAATGGCAAGATAAAAAATATTTTAAACTAAATGATTAAAACCAAGTAGTTCTTATTCTTAAGGAATGTATAGCCTATTAACAAATTTGTTTATTCTTATGAGACTAGATTTTCCCATGTGAAATGATGCAAGATGATGTAAATCCAAGTTGACCATGGGTGTTTCTTTTTTATGTACTACTGTATTCAGATGGTCAATATGCTGTCTAGAATTTTCGTGTCTATGTCAACAAGTCAGATTGGGCTGTAATTCTTCTTTCTTATACTGTATTTGGTTTAGGTATCAACGTTGTAATAGACTCCAGAATGAGCTGTAAAAGAAGTGGCTAATTGTTCTAAGCCCTGAAAGATTTTGCATAAAACTGAAATGTCCTGTTCCTTGAAATGTCATTATTATTTATTTGTAAAACCACCTGAACCCAGTGCTGTTTTCTTTTCAGTATAGTATAAAAGGGCTCGGAAATTTCCATGGAAAAAAATGGAATTTTTCTATGAACTTTTTGAAGCCCCCCATATTGATAGAACAAGCCTTGCACAAAGGAGGCATTCAAGCATTTTGAAACTGAATTCATAAGAGGTGGACACGTCCCATGACACTGTAGTCATGGATAGGGGAATTCCTAAATCTTTCTGAAATACCATAAACACGTCTGAAGGACAATTGAAAAGGGAAAAACAGCAGGTAAGAGAGATTGAAATTTACTTTAAAACGTTCTTGGTTGATGTGTACTAATGTACTCAGTGGATATTTCATAAGACCTTTTAACATACAAAGCATCAACAACAGGAAGTAGACAACTAAGGGTTGGATCTATGGGAAAAGAAAAGAGGTGTTTGCCTTCTGTGCTTGCCCTTCCATTAGTGTGGGTACAAACAACATTGAGCACTGTCTTCAAAAGACAACAACCTTATCGCTTCTCGGCCTTTTGGCTAAGATCAAGTGTAAATGACAACAACCTTCCACAGCTCTTATTTTCTTCCTATCACATATCTATCATTCTCTAAACGTGAAAACCTTCTAGCGAACCAAGGGTCTAGCACTAAAGCAAATGATCAACATATCCACCCAAAATACGCAAGTCTATTATCCTTTCTGAGTGAGTACTCATTTTCCTCCTGAAGCATTAGACAGGGAGGCAGAAGACTATGCAGCCCAGGTCATGAGCATGTTACGAGACCTGAACACCCACATCAGGAAAATTCCCCTATCTTGTTTGTTGCAATACTGTACCCATGTAAGCTTTCCATGTGGACTCATGTTGACTGTATAAACTAGCACAGATTTTGGTTCTATAACAATAGGCTTAAAGGAATATTGACCAAATTTAAATAAATCCATCACATAGGATATAAAAACAAATTAGTAAACCAACAAATCAGGCCTAGTGGCCAGGGTGCCCTATAAAAGCATAAGGTTATGCAAGAAACTAGAAAACCATGATGTTATAACATTTAAAAAGTGGGTCACCTGCTCATCTTCCCAACACGATAGCTGAAGACAAAATGGGTGCATAAGCAAATGTGAAGAAAGCTGATGGTGCCCGGCTATCAAAAGATATAGCATCTGGGGTCTTAAAGGTTTGAAGATAAACAAGCGGTCATCTAGCTGAGAAGCAACAGCGTTCACATGGAAGAAGTGCACCAGCCTGTGTGATCATGAGGTATCGATGGGATCAGGAATCAGGCATCTAAGACCCAGAACAAAATCATACACAATATGACTGGTGGGGGGCTGGGGGAGGTTGATGTTAATGGAGTGAAGACCCAATGCCCATCTGGAGACAATTGGACATCCCCCTACACAGGGGTCACAGGGAAGAAATGAGCCAGTCAGGGTGCGGTGCAGCACCAACACAACTTTCCTCTAATTCTTTGGTGCTTCGTTCCCCCCACTATCATGACCTCAATTCTACCTTACAAATCAGATTAAATCAGAACATGCACACTGCTACAGATAAGAGCCCACAACACAAGGAATCAGGATAAATAAACCCCTCAGGGCCAACAATGAGAGTAGAGATACCAGGAGGATTAGGAGATGGTGGTGGGGAGAAAAGGGTAATCGATCACAAGGACCAACCTATAGCCCCTTCCCAGGGGGATGAACAGCAGGGAAGTGGGTGAGGGGTGACGGAGGCCAATGTAAGATATGAAAATAATAATCTATAACTTATCAAGGGTTCATGAGGGAGGGGAGGGCAAAGAAATGGGAAGCTGCTATCAGGGGCTCAAGTGGGAACAGAATGCTTTGAAAATGATGACGGCAGCATATGTGCAAATGTGCTTGACACACTGGGTGAATGTATGGATTGTGATAAGAGATGTAAGAGCCCCCAATAAAAGTATTTATTTTAAAAAAAAAGTGGGTCACCAACAAAAGACAAATGACTAAGCAAAAGCTGGTGTGTACGAGAGTGAATCAAGAAGTATTGCTACTGAGGTTCCAGTTCATACATGCACAGGCTTATTCAAAATAAAAAAGGGTTTAACATGAATGTGCACTCTGCGGATGGCTGAAGACAAAATTCAAGACAGAGAGGTCAACTCAAAATACGGTGACTGGTTTCTGTGATGCCCAAGGGGTTATTCTTGATAGGTTTTTCTCCAAGGGCACAGGATGATTACAGGAACGTATTAGAAAGTGTGTTTGTTTTTTATTGAAAGCTGCACTGGTGAGAAAAAGGCCAGAAAAGTTGCACCAAGAGCTTTTCCCCATCACAACGCACTGTCCCATTCTTCCTGGGCTGCGAGGTCTGTCCTACCAGTTTTGTGGGGAAGCCTGACCCTATCTACCTAGAGCCCTGATCTTCTTCTTTCGGGCTTCTTTTTGTTCCCAAACTAGAACATTTTAAAAGACTATGTTGCCTCCAA